TTGGGTATTCGGGTGTCCCTCCCTCTTTTTGAACCTAGAAAGGCATGAAAGACTTGCTGAAAAGGGGTCGTAAACAGGCCCAAGTCTCTGACCGATACTGGTTGCGCACACATATCGTGACTTTCTTCACACGCGGCCGAACTGGCCTACAGACAGCTGGACCCAAAGTTTTGTTGTTCAGCGAAATCGCCACAGCACCGCCAGCAAGCGCTGTCTACGCAATGATGACCAACCATATAGCAGCACTTGGTACGATTAAGTGTGATTAGAGAGTGTAAAATAGCAGTATTCTGTAATCTCCGTAAGTTTCAGCTGCCATATGGCTATATCTCAAGCACCGTGAACTTGTCTCATATTTCTCGCACGATCATCAGAATTCATGGCAGCGGAAAATCAGCTTTGTGAATTCCTGCATTGGACTCGTAGCGGTCGCCTGTCTACAAATGAGCGTGAATTTCCCGGTAAGTCATTTATATTTCGAGAGTCTCAGGGCGAAACTCCATAATTACGAAGTGTAACGTCATCTTATTTGAAAGTGTGGAACTTTTTATGCATTTAAAAAGAAGAGCTGAACAGGTGAAGAAGTAATATTTTGGTATAAGGTAAAGTACAGTCCGCCGTGTCTTCTTCAGTGGACCGTGTCCAGTGTCCAGGGAGGCTCGGACTCCTTGAACTTTTGTTTTTTCAACAGGTGCCGAATAAAATACTGCTGATATCCATTTGCGAGATCGACAACTTGTCGTAGCGTTTGCCGGCCGCCAATTTACCATGAACATTAAATGGACACCTGGGTAGATCGATAGAGCCTATAAAGTTATTCACAAAACATAGATAGCAAAACTGCAATCTGCATTTCCAAGCAACTTATGAGCAGGTAAAGTTATTTGTAGATGCGCCCAGTAGGCTGAGCAGGCTTGTCTGAACGTGACTCTGAAGGATAAGCGAGGAATCGCATACGTCGAATCGAGTCGTGGTGGTTCAGTGGTAAGGCTCGACGTTCGACGACTCCATTCGATGTGTGCCATTCATTGCTTATGCTTCACAGCTCACCACCAAGCCTCCACCTACTGCACCATTACAAACTTTACCTGCTCATAAGTTGCTTGTGAAATGCAGGTTGCAGTTTTGCTATCTATATTTGTAAATAACCTTATAGACTCTATCGTCTAATCAGGTTCCCTTCAAAAAGTCCATGGTAAGTTGGCGGACTCCCTGGTCATTATCCACACAAACCATCCCCTCAGTGTTATGTTTCTGGAGATCCCTATTAATCCGACTATTTGGGTCTCACATTGTGATTGGCAATGGTGGCTCTTGAACTATATGCATGTGCAGCAGCTTGTCGTTTTCGGTGTTTCCTCTTGAGTAGAGTCATAATGCAGAAATCCATTGCCATCAGGAAAACCGTCGCTGGGGAAGGTTTTTGCATAATACGACTTTTCCCAATCCCAAACTTCCTGCTCTAGTGCAATCCCTCTTCCCCATCCTGCCTGCGATTCAACATATTGACAACTCCCTGCCTTCCTTCCCGAAATTGTTGAAAATTTTCAGTTTTTTTTCCAAAAATTCGCCGAGCGAGAGGTGCGGTGGGGTCGCCACCAAACAAGTTCTACTTTCAATAGCAGATATGACTTTCCTGTCGCCTCCCCACCCCCTAATGGGTTCCTCCACCGATAAGGATTAGGACTACGCGTGTAAAACAGTGCAAACCAACTCCTAAAATTTTGCTCAGGCCAAATACGACCTCCCCTGCCTTATACCAGCAATCAAACCGACCAGAAAGGACCCCCCCCCATGGAGGATTCCTCAGCGTAGATGAGCGCTGATTGCCATGATGCCACCCGGTTTGAACACTCACCAGGCTCAACTTTTGCGGCTTCGAACCAGCCTACATTGTTTACGAGGAAGACTGTCCCAATCAGTTAATCCGAATCACGATTTTAACATCCAGAATTTGTCGTCATTTCAGGTCCGGAGAAATCCAGCAAGATTCTTTTTTTTCTTTTTTTTACGATTTTGAGGTTTTCAGAAGAACAAAGTGCCATACATCCAAGTCTACTCCAACATGTTGCTGATGGTATGCACCGTGGTGTACGTATGGATCCATACTACTCTCTCAGCTTTTGTGATTGATGCGAACATAGCCCGTCTGAAGCTCTTCGTTGTTAGGAGCTTGTTGGCTGCTGCTGTGACTTCGTTCTGTGGAAGTAGTGAGTATTTGCTTATTACTGGAGGCGCTGCTTGATTTTTGGAAAAATTTACGTGTTCTCATTGCAAAATTATTTTATTGGGAGCTCTCACTGCTCAGAGGGAGGAATAATTCAAGGCTCTTTCGAAGCTTCTCCTAGAACTAACTCGGTGAACCGTGTAATTAGGAATACAAAAAGCGCTGGATTGCAAAAGGCACAGTTCCCCATCCACACAATTTGTGAGATAGACCATCTAAGAGTATAGAGCTCTCCAGTCCGCACTCATACCGAAAATTTGTTACTAGGTACGCACATAGGAGGTTGACAGGATAAGCACTGGCTAAAATGAGAAGAACGGGAAGACGGCATTGGGAGAGACAGTGAACCATTGTGCCACCCTCAATGGACCGCCCTCCTCTTTAGTTATGCCGGGTCTACAAACTACTTGAACTCAATCACTCTGATCGCGTCAATTTTCTGTTTTTCTCTGCAGTCTCTTGGTTGCGTGGTGTGACCAGTGTTACGCTCCTAGAGATGGAGTGGGCGCGGCTGCATACCTCATTTGAACCTGGAGTAGAATGCGTTTCTCATGGGATATTTCCGCTTGGGACGACCGTCATCCTGTTTTATCTTGAACAAAGATATGATTGCCATTGTCCTGAAACGCGAAAATGTGCCACCAGAAGCGCAGCCGTCGTCACGTTCAAATGAATGGTTGTAACCTCACAGCATGCCGTGCCGCGTCAAAATGAATGGTTATAACCTACCATCTTCGGATGATTGAGTAAATGTTTACGCGCGTTTTACGGGAAAAACGTTTTCAGTCTATGTTGGTTGGATTTTTAATATCGTACAGTCTTAGTTCGGCTAAGCGAGCGGTTGGGGTGTCAGGCAGAATGAGTGTGCCACGCGATAAAAAGCCGTTCTCTGGTTTCTCCTTGAATGTTGCGCATGCGAAAAAGTGGTATTGAAAACGAGTAATGAGGAAAAAGGATTGCGATCAGTCATATATTTGCTCGCTTTAAAATGGTGGTAAATGTCGTTCGTCAGGCGCGCGAAACCATCCCGCCTGCACGGCCCAAACCGTCTGCAAGAGCAACTACATTATAATATATGCTACTTTTAGTGACTTTGAGGTGTTTCATTTCGAGGACACACTTCGATTCGAAACAACACGTACCGCTAACAGCTGTGGAAGTATCCCGATTTCAATTTGGCTTTTTATATATGGGCCGTCCCGCTTTGTAATTGCTGCGTACCTTCTATTTTGCCACCTTAGTTATTAAGCATATCCCATGCAGACTATTTAACTCAGCTTCAGGACGACCCGTCCTCGCTGCGCTAACCAACACACGCAACCCACACACACACACAACCACACACACTACACACACAGCATAGCAATAACGCGTCCAGCTGGCATTTATGGAGGGAACGGCCGCCACTTGCTTACGATCTGCGCCGGACCGCTAGTGTTTGAGAGAGGTATGAACAGAAAAGGAGAGCCGACCAGACTGGTGGTGGGTTTAGGCGACGTGTACCCTCATTCCTATACTTTCGCAAAAAAACACTTCACTTGCGGTCGGCGGCCCATTCTTCTCTTTTTAAAAAACTTTTTTTTTTTCGTGTCTCCGCTCGACATTCTAACGCTATGTCTGCAGTGGAAGCCCTGGACTAATGGTCGGCGCCGCGTCATCGCCGAGTATAAGCCGCCTTTTCCTGGTGACAGCTATTAGGAGGTAGAGGCGATGTTAGATTCATTTGAAGAATATATGTGGAGGTACGCAGCGGCTCGTTCTGCCGTAGAAAATCCTGACAGAATGCGGCTCCTACCCGCTACTCGAATTCTCTTTCTTTTGGTACTACGTCCGTTCGGTCCTCAGTCCCCACCCTATCCACCATTTCGTCGGTTGCTTTTCCGAACTGCCTAACATTCTTCAGCTGATTCTTCTTCTCAAGAAACATCTTCAGTGTCATCCATTTTAAAAAATGCGAGAAATATAGAGGAATGGCCTAGAAAGCAAAGGTGTGATAGGAGCAGGGCGTACTGTACAGTCGTGATCTTGGCATTGATAGTCATGTCGGTTGCGAGCTGCGTGCGGCGCGTCGCCCACCGTATGACACCCAATCGTTGAACCAGGACGTGACATTACTGCATATTTATATCCTTTAGGTGTTAGCTCGTTTTTATCAATTTATTTGTCGCAACGCGTATTCAAACGAAAAGGCCTGGAAGGGCTTCACACAGTGTGGACGTCGCTTCTCGGCCGATCAGCACTTATCAAGTTTGCAAGGATGAAGCGACTGTATGATAATTTTGGTAGGCTAGTAGGAGCGTTTGGAGGCTTTTTTATAGGGTCTCAAGTTTTTGACAAATTGTGTGACTATGTGCACAGAAGAAGTTCTTCGGCGAGAATTTGAAAGAAGCCCGAGTTGGTCTGAAAACATCAGCGACTGAAATGGTTCACAGGTGAGAATTTTGGATTACAGGAGGCCGGAAGAAGGATAGGAAGAAAAATTTCTCGTTTGTCGTGGAGATCGAGTTTCCCATAATGTATGCACCTTGACACACAGAAAAAAAACGCGTGATTGAAGTCGAGATCGCTGAATGTTCTGATTCCATCAAAATGACCTTTGTGAGCTTCCTGCGAGGACTGACAATCCCCTGCTGCAACCTGATGCCCGAGTTTATGTTCCGATAAGCTGAGGATGGGTTAAGGAGGCGCTGTTGCGCATGGGTAACACTAATTTTCTTGTAGCGAGCCGACGAACGCAATACGATCTATTGCCTATGCAGGAATGTTCTCAGCATGAGTGTCATTTCCGACAAACGCGCACTCGACTCCATAATTGAAATTTGGTGTTCTCAATTTGCGAGGAAGCGCTTCGAAGAAGCCGCGCCGAGTTCTCCATGAGGAAGTTGTGGGTACAAGGCGCATGATTATCATAGCAAAGATTCCCTAACTGTGGCTTTCAGGCGGCTCAATTACAGTATAATAAATTTGTTCGCTGTCGGTGTATATTGCCTGTTTCGGCAATCAGATCGACAAATGGATGATACCACACAACTACAAGAAGGCCACCGTTGCTCGCCATAGTGCCAGACCCTGAGAGACTTGTATTTATGAGGCAATGCCTGACACCGACAATACTGAGACCTGGGTTCAATCGCCCCATTCGCCCAATATAAAGCCGTTCGATTCCAACTGTTCTGGTCAGTCGAGGTACTCTCCGACGGCAAACGCTACAATGTTTTGTCATTCGCCGAAATTGGCAGCAACAGCAATTTACTCGCACTTGTTGAAAAAACCAAGGTACCAGAGGTCCAAACGCTTCCGGGGCCCTGGGAGCGAGCGTTGTTGAAGGAGGATCTACTTAACTCAGAGCCAAAATATTACTTTTCTATCTGTTTTTCTCTTCGTTTTATATGAATAAGATCTTCGGCACTTTTGAATGGGATGACCTAATATTTTCTCTACTTTCTCTCTTTGAAACTGCCCGAAGCGGAAGGGGGGAAGAAAGTTGGGGCAAGGTGTGGTCTACGACGTGGCCTGAAAGGTAATGAAGTGCATAGGGTCCGAACAATACGCCTAGCCTAGCAATACCCTTTGCATGCATAACGTGACCTCATCTTCCGTTCAGCATTGTGAACATTTCATTAGGACCTGCACAATGATTTACCGAGGCTAGATCACGTCCAAATATTGACATTATTCCCCGACGACTTGCTCAGAACTATAATAAAATAAAAGCCTGTTAAACATAGTAAATGCTGCACTTCACTTTCAGGACCAGTCGAGTCCAGGAGCTGCTTACGAATGGGGAGCGTACTTTGTCATGTGTCTATTTCTTCTTACCGATGCGTACGAGTTCAGAAATCTCGTTTTTCGTGCTCCGAAGCTGGTAATCCCAGGTGCTCCGTTGTATAATGCTGAACGGATGACGCCATCGCCTTCTCCAGAAAGACCCCGACGGCAAGTTGTCATTCACTGATCTGCCAACCAGCACACTTAGAGTACCTCTGGTACTATAAGATGAGACATGCGTGTGGTTTACGAAGTTGCAAGGGCGACTGTCAGGAGGTTCATGTTGGGGCGTGCACAAACTAGGGCGCACACACGTTGTAGTATTATGACTCAACTTCGATGTGGCGCACGCTGAATACGCCATGCCCCACATTCCGCGAAACTTGGCATCATCGCTTTGCGAAAAGTTCATTGAAAGGTGCTGCCTGGACCAGGCACTTGTTGGATGACTCGGTTACGCAATGGGAACATCTAAAAGAAACAAAACAAATAATTGGAGATTTTCCTGTAGAATTCCTTCTAATTGAGAAAGGATATTGAAAGTACTATTTGCATTCTCTGCTTCATGTTGAAAATAAATATTCTGCACGCCTTTTGTTTTCGTGATCTCTCTCTCTTCGATATTGAACTACACAAACAAGATAAAAGAAGTGGGAAGGACTAAAATAGCAGAAGAATACTCGGGAATGGGATCGGAATGCTGTTATCCATTAGTTCTGGTCTCTCCATATAGCGGCAGAATTAAGATTTTAGTGAAAGGACTATATACTCTACCTATTGGACAGAAGGTGGAAGAGGTGAAGAAACGTGTGCAGCACTTCCACCAAGATTCAACTGACTGAAGTTAGCAGTAAAAATCAGCTGGTCAGAAAGAACTGTGACAATTGCCGCGCTCTGGACTAAAATACGGTCCGTAGCACGGCATCTAGAATAGGCGTGTCAACATCCCACAGCTGTAAGAGCGGCAACTACGTATCTATGAAGTATTGCTCGCAGAGCTGACGCAACTGATCCCAGATACATGCTCACAACTAGATTCGTACCTTTCTGAGCGCCGTTATACCGGCTGTGCGGGAGCTAGCGCGAGCGGTCAAGGCGCTGCACCAATCTGACAGTGAGCAACAACATGGCCGCACTCGGACTCTATTCGCGCACACGGGCACTCTTTTCCTGACAATGAGACCTTGTAAAATGATCAGAATCAATCGGAATCAACTGCTGAAAAGTGGGAGTTAATGGCATTTTCAGCG